GAATGGATCATCTGGTAGAGTTCTTGAGTACACAACCCTATACCACCATCTGCTCCTTGTACAGCCTTGGGGAAGCTATTTACTTCTTGATATGGAAGTTTTTATCATCTATAAAGTGAGGTATATTATAACTCACCGGGTTTGTGAGTTGTTATGAGGCTTAAAACACGAAATGACTCACTATTTAGAAGGTGTTTTAACCTGTGTTTACTCTAGAACAAGCTGTTTGCTCATTAAATAAAGTAAAATTATAGATGCATTTTGTTCCCAACAGGTGTGAATGTGTTTATGATCTGCAGGGTGCTTCTCATGGGTTTGCCTATATGTGAAAACCAAGGTTTTATTTTTAAATACTCACAAATCGGGTAGTAGGTTATTGGTTTTACTAAAGTTTCATTACAGGATTCTCTTCAATAACAAGCATGGAAATCCTTCCAAAAGTTCGTGGGAAAATGGAATTGAAAGATGATGTCATTTCTTCATGAACTTTTTGAAGCTCCCTCCTATCTTACTGAACATAAATCCAAATCACTTTGTTAAAATGTACTTTAAGAGCATACCTATCATAAGAAAGCACATTTAAACCGCTATAAGCAGGGTACCATACAATAAGATTCGTAAGGACAAATGGGGTGTCCTGAACCTTTGTTGTAGCAAATGAATTAGATTTGGGGACTCTAATTGGTGGCACAGCCAGTTACGTGCTTGACTGCAAGGTTAGCATTTTGAAACCATCAATCTCTCCATGGGAGTAAGGTAAAGCTTTGTACGCCAATAGAGATTGAGAGTCACAGAAGCCACCAGGGGCAAGGCTGCTCTGTTCTACAGGGTTTCTCAGAGTCACGGTGGACTTGTTAGCACTCAGTTTTTTGTTTTGAGTTAGATTGATTACTTTAATATCCGTATAACTTACTAAATCCCTGCAGCAATTTAATGATAATGCTTGGTCACATTAATGATGTTACTTGGCTCTCACCTGGTGAGACTAAGTCCTATAAAACTGAGAAAACAAGCCAAACAAAACAAAAACCTCAGGTCAGTTACACAGTGTCTTCACACCCAGAATTAGTAGGTAAGGCACCAATAGTGAGACTTTCTTCAGAGCTACAGCTCTCTCCTTTTCTCCATTTCAGTTAATGGATTTATTCAGAATTGACCCTCAGCACAATGCCTGGATGTATGCGAATTCCTTCTCTAGAGCCTCCTGTGGGATTCATCTGCGGAAGGAGACGTCACTGTAGAGAAGGAAATTGAAGGTAGAGACCACTGCTCACAGTCTTTAGAATAGTTTATACTAACCAGGTATGTGAAACGGAGCAGGTTGAAAAAAACCGATGTTCAAGAAAAGCTTGACAATAAGTAAAAGTGCACTTTACTTCACAATAACATCACAATATTGGCCCACTGTCGTTGTTAGAGGTCCATGGTTCGTTTTGTCTCATAACAACCCCACATATAACAGGACAAAATGTTGCCCAGTCCGATGTAGGTCTGTAACCACTGTGTCAGTCGATCTCATTGAGGATCTTCCTCTCTTTTGCGGACCCTGTGCTAAATCAAGCATGATGTCCTCCAGGGACTGGTCTCTCCTGAAAACCTGCCCAAAGTACGTGAGACCATGTCTTGCTATCCTTGTGTCTCTAGAGTATTCTGGCTGTACTTCCTTCAAGATAGATTTGTCTAATTTTCCGATAGCCTAGCGTATATTCAATCTCCTTTGCCCAAATCATAACTCGAAGGTATGAGTTCTTCTCCGGTCTCTGTTCTCATTGTCCAGCTTTGGCATGTGTATCAGGCACCTGAAAAGGCCATGGCTTGGGCCAGGGGCACATCCGTCGTCAAAATGACAGCTTCCTGTTCAGATTTGAAAGCGTTCTGCTCTACCAGATTTCGCCAATCACTGTTTGATTTCTTGACTGCTGCTGCTGGGGAGGCTGCTGACTGATCCAAGTAAAATGAAATCCTTGACAACATCCATCTTTCCTACATGTATGTGGATGTTGCTTATTGATCCTGCTGTGTAGAGTTCGATTGTCCTCAGGTTGAAGTTGCAACAAATGTGCTAGGCTAATGTGGGGGGGCTAACATTGTGCTCCGTACTAGCTTTGCGACTTTTCTGTAACTTTAAAACTCTTCTAAAATAAGTTTCTTAAAAAGGAAGGAAGGAAGGAAGGAAGGAAGGAAGGAAGGAAGGAAGGAAGGA